AACAAAAGTAAAGTGAGAGAATAAAAGATCAAATTAATATCCCATGTCAGAATGGTAGGCAGTCAGGGAGAACGACTAATCCAGAAGGAACACATGAACATAGTAAGGATAGATGAGGTAAAAACTCCACGGTATTTGGACAAAAATGAAGGTATGGAACAAGTCTGCCTCATAATCCTAGATCGAAGGGAATGAAGATCCAAGGTTGAAAAACCAGGGGTTCAATCTGTGGGAAAGCCCTGACTCATAAATTAACTGCAGAACACTTTCCATGTACACCAATAAATGTCCACTGAAAAAGAGGAAATGGAACAAGCTAAAAGAAAGCTACCTACAGGTATAAACCCAATCTCCAGACGAAGGACTGAATAAGAGCCAAACATAAAGATGAATGATGTGAATGTCCAGATGGAGTACCGGCAAACAAAGTGGACAAAGAAGGGCAGGAGACAAGGGAAGAAGCAGTGGAGGTAAAAGTTGGAGCTGGAGAAGTCACGGAAACCAAGGTTGAGCTGGCCATTAAGGAGCAATCAAAAAAACCTAACACAGAATGGTAGGGATGAGGGAAACCACCCATGGAAGTAAGAGGATGGAGCAATAAACATATAAGAACTTGTGGGACCAATCCCGACCAAAGGCATCAACAGCCCTAATTAGAGGAGGAGGTACTGGATACAAAATAGAGGTAATAGGAGGTTAAAAGATGTAGTAAAGGGATCTATGTGGGGAGAAAGCCACCAGATAACAAGAAAATCAAGAGACCACTCTGATGAACAGAATGTGTCAGGATGAGAAAAACAAACTGCAATCCAAGTAACAGCATGAACATGCAAGGATATGATTATTGTGGGAGGGGGCCCAAAGGAGCAGATCTAATATGTGAAAAGAGAGGAAGTGCAAACAGGTGCCACCCACAGGAGAAACTCCCCCCCCCCAAAAGAGACAAGAGAAAGGAATAGACTGTAAACCCTATTAATAATGGAAAGGAAAACAAACATTAGTCTCACACCAAATATTAACCAAAAAACAAAGAAGCCATTCAAAGAGGCAATGAACTGAAGATGGCAAAAACTCCAACAACATGGAGGGAAGAAAGAGGAGGTATCCCTCGACAAACCTGAAGTGTAAACAGAACACCGATTAAAGGGAAACATGATACATTACAGAAATGAGTGATGAAAGAGGAAAAAAGGAATGACAACTGCCAGAAGAAATCTGCCTGAAGTTAAACTAAGGTAAAATTGAAAACCCATAGAAGGTAAGGCTTGTAAGTACCCAAACTCAAAAGAGATAAAAGGAACAGCACAGAGAACATGAAGATAATATTCTGCAAAACATGTTAAAAATATGTAAAGTATGTCTATCAGATACTGCAATAGATGTGTGAAAGGTATTCCATGATAAGGTCAGAGAGAACTAACAATTTTAGGACGTTGGAAAATGGGTTCAGCTGATAGATGGGGAAGGTGAGAAATAGTGGAAGCAGATACAGCAGACCCCAATTCCCAGGGACCAACACACATGAAATAAATTACTGGTACAAAGGATAAATTATAAACAAACGAAATTAATGGTAAGAAGTATAATGTAGAGATTAAAAGAAAGTAACTGTAAAAAGTATAAACTAAGAAAAAAAACAAAATGAAATAGTCAACGTAGTGAAAAACGGGAAGAAATTGGTGTAATGAATGCATCTGGAACCGTGGTGGATATGAACCTATCCATAAAACTATGGGAACCAATAAACTAATTAACGGTAAGAAGGATAAATTATAAACCAAATGAAATTAATAGTAAAAAGGATAAAGTATAAATTACATGAAAAAAATGGTAATAATTATAAAGTACAGATGAAACGAAAGTAACTGGAAAAGGATAAACTATAAAGAAAAACAAAATGGATTATTCAACATATTCAAATGGAAAAGAAATAGTGTAGGGAATGAATCCCGTATGATGTAGTGGTGAACAAAAACTGGAACCTAAGTAGATATTAACCCATCAATAAAACCAAGGATAAACAAAATAATAAATAATACAAAAATAATACAAAATATGAAGCTGATTCAAAAAATATAGCGAACAGAAATAACAAGTATATCTAAACTAGAACTACAGTGTAATCAAAAAGAACAAAAACTAGTTAAGCCTAGTCGAACAGTATAGAATAAAGGATGACCTAAGTATGAAAAGAAAAACAAAACTGAACAATAAACAGGCACAATACTGGGAGAAGTCTATGTGGCCCCAGTTCAAGGGTTACACCAAAACCAAGTGAAAAAAAAAGATTATTAACGAAATGGAGTAGAAATGATAATATAAATGTAAAGAAATAACATAGCTTAACTAATGAAGGACATACCATGTTAAGCCTAAATGAATGGTACAAAAGAAAAATAACAAAGACTAATTACGAATCGTAACTTAGTATTAACTAATCTAAATAAGCATATGTTAAAGAATTTCAACTAATTACACATAATAATATTAACAATAAAATTGTAAAACGTCTTAACTTTCTGAAGTCAGTAGACTGTATGGCAAATGGTGGACCACGAAGCACGAGGCGAGGTCTGACGAAAGTCCAGACATTAAAAGATCAACCTCCCAATGAAATAAGGCAGAAACTGTCCATGGAGTAACGTGAATGAAAGCAATTATAAACGTGTGAAAAGAACATAGAATCTCCGTATTGGGAATGAAGACTACATAATGGAAATGAAAAAACAAACACTTGAAATCTGATGATTTCCATCTGCCCAAACAGGGTCGGCTTCAACAGGAGGAATTGTGGGCGAGAACCAAAGAAAGAAGCCAACTTTTTTAATGTTCAATCTCCCTGAAGATAAACACCAATAAAATCCCATGATGGGTCGTCCGCACCTGTGACCTGTGAGATAGTGCTAGTTGTAGACGTGACCCCTGAAGTGGTAACATTAGCTTCGGAATGTGACTGGAATAAGCTGGACTAAATTAAGTTATAATTGTCCTACACTGAAATGTATTTCTGATAGGTACTTACCTCCTCTCACAAGGTTAGCTATTCTCGTTCAGTGCTGCTCTCTATATGCGAACTTTTTCTTTACATATGCCAAAAGTCTTCCACTCCCCCTTTTAGAATTATTACATTCCAACATGTCTCTCATGTAAATCATCATGCATCATCTCTTAACCAATAGTAGCTTGATATGCTTATGTGACACATGTGACTCCCTCTACACTCCTCTATTGAAACTTTCTTTGTGGAACTCATTCAGGAGGGTGCCTCGATAGTCAACCACCCCAACAGCTTGGAACTGGAAAGTGGTAAGGACTCCCATCTCGATGGTGAGCATGTGAAGCCATAGAAAATAAAGCATGAGTCAACATGGTTGTACAGTGTGGATTTAAAGTTAAAGAATACCTAGTCAGGCATCACTCACCACAGAGGGATCCATGTAATAAAAATGGAGATACAGGCTTCTGAAAAAAAAAAAAGAATATAATTTACCAGTTAAAGTCCCACTGAAGTCTGGAGAATGGCCACAGGTGGTAGATGAAACCCTGATGAAGAGGAAAGTGTGACATGATGAGGGTAGTGGGAGATAAACGTACTGGGACTGCAGAATCTCCTCCATCAGACAATGAAGCAAGGGAAAAATTAGATGTCAGATTCGATGGGAGGAAACCTGGAACAAGGTAAGGGAGAAAGAAGGCTAAGAGATAAGGAAATATGTTTTAAGGGGCAGTTGAAACATGGAACACAAAGAAAGTGGTTCAAACGGAGGTAAAGTAAGAGCATGGAGGATTACATTAATGTCCAAACCTGTAAGGGCCAGATGCCTGGGAGGTTGACGTATCTAGAAGGAACACATGAGCATGGTAAGAACAGGGGAAGTAAAAACCCTATGATATTGGGAAAAATGAAAGGTATTGGGATATGGCTGACCAATATTTGGAAAGTGAGGAGACTGAGGACTTACAGTCAAAGAGCCAGGTGAGAAATTCTGTCACATGAGCCACAGAAGGCTTGTCAGCAGGAAACTCTCTGTTAGCAGGCCAATAGCAGAAGACTTTCCAGTTGTGTTGGAAGATGGCCAAATGGAACTAGCTAACAAGGAAGTGACTTGACGTGTGAAACCAGATTGCCTCACCAAGGACTGGACAAAAGCCAGGCATGAAGATGCAGGATGCTGGTATGTAGAATGAGGGATCGAGGTTGAAGAAGGAAGGAAGAAAGTGGAAGAGGGACAGGTAGTGATAGGAGCAGATGTTGTAACCTTGGAAACCAAGGTTGAGCTGGCCAACAGGAAGCAATCAGGAGAATCCAACAAGGAGTGGAGAGGACAAGAGAAATCACCCAATGAAGCAATCGGATTGAAGGGTACACAAAGATATTTGTGTGACCAATGTTGGCTGAAGAGATGTGTCCATCAAAATATGTAGATCCAGATGCGGGGAAGGAAGCAGCACGTCTGCCAACATGTGGGCTTTGTCCAGCCACCATTGCAGATTGTCTCGCAGGGAAGTTGGAAGGGAAATGGGGGTGGAAAGGGGACCCTGAGCAAGGTTCCATCATTCGTGAAGCACTCACTGAAGGGATCTCATATGGGCATGACCGAGAGAAACCAGTGTAGCCATGGAGGACCACATCCCCAATAGTGATAGAACCTCTAAAGCAGTAAGTGGCTGAGCTGAGAGGGCATAATGAACCAAAAGTTCCATTGAATGAAGACATAAAGGAGAAAGCAGAGTGTGACTACTATTCTTGTCAAAAAAGACCCCAAATGGATTAGATATTGAGTGGGTCAAAGGAATGACTTCTCCAATTTGATCAACCAGCCCACGATAGAGCTGCCACAGAAAGGAGTTGGTGAGTATGAGTGGCTGATTCCTGCTCGAAATGAGCCAGTCATCCATGTAATACTGAAATCACATCGGCAGAGCATGGAGATGATGTGCAAAAGCCCACACTATGCAACAAAACAAATAAGGAGCCGAGGCAATTCCTAAGGGGAGGGCCCGAATTTGGTAAACCACCCTGAGATGGACAAACCAAAGGTAAGGTCAAGACCAATGTGCTATCGGGATGTGTTAGCATTGGAGACATCCATTTTCTTCATCCACAATCATGGGGAAAATGCCCATTTCAGGGTGAGAAAGGACTCCATTGCTGAGGAGAGATAAATCGATGACTAGCTGCCAATACACATTTTTCTTGGGAACAAAAAACCCCAGAAGGATAGTGAACTTGTTCGATTGCCTGCTGCAAAAGCAATTGTCGAACCATGTCTGACAGACACTGGCAGGTCATGGGACCACGAGGAGGAGGGAAGGAAATGAGGCAAGGAGAAACAGGAGGTGGGGAAAGAAACTGGATAACAAATCCATCTGACAGAACCCACATCACCCATTGATCATAAACAAAGGGATGCCAGCAAGGAAGATACTCTTAATAACCAAACTCCCACCAGACCTGAACCCACAGGGTAGTAACCAATATTGGTGGCGACGGGGGTTACGTTGTCGAGGAAATTGATGAGAAGAAGTACTCTGATTAGAAGGAATGGGTAAGGGTTGGGAGGATGAAGAATGGGAAATGGGAATAGGTGGCCACAGAACTTGTATTCCAAACATCAGAATACATTTAATATAATTAAAAACAAATCCAGTTAAAGAATGTTACATATTCTTTTTTTTTACAATTTCTATACCATTTTGGTAAACATACAAAAAAAACTAACCATTTGGCAGCCATTTCATAATTTCCTTCTTTATCAGCACGAGCAGCCCACTTGCACAGTATATCATTCAATGTAGGGTCTACCGATGGTAATCTTGATCTGGCTATTGCTAACGCTTCTCTGTGAGATAATAAACTTGTTAGCTTTCACAAATTAAAATCTAAAAAAACAAAGAGAAATTTCAGTAATAGGGTAAATATTGAGAATAATAGTAAGAAACAGATACAGATAAAGTGAAAAATATGAGTGCAATAGCAGGTCTCAAACTTGTAATAATCATTTTAGTCAGTTATACTGAAAATGTTAATGATTACCCAGGATTTAAAAGTAAAACCAGTAAATTCAGAAGGAAGATTTGGAGATTATTATTGCTGAGTATCCATACATCTATAATATCTGCATTTCGGTAATTTAGATTGTTAATATAATTGTGATTAAAAATGATTATTTCACTTGATGGTGCCATGACAGTTTTATGATCCCATTTGAACTGCATAGTATACTGTTACGTCTCTGTATGTTTGCTTGTTAATTCTTACAAGATACAAGTCCTTTCTTTATAAAACTTGTTTATTCTTCATCAATACAACTTTGTAATGTACTTAATTTTCACAGTTACACACACTATAGTTCACAACAATCCACTCACTTTCTATCGTGCTTAGACTTAATTGTCCGTCCCCGCAAACTATAGTTCCGATCTCTGTGTCTGCTATCCTCAGTTCCCGCCGACCATAACCGCTGTCTTTCTTTCTCTCTGCCTGCTTCATCTCCGCTACGTCTCTGTCTGTCTCCACTATTGCTTCGACTCCGTCTGTCTCTCTCACTGTCTAGCGCAGTTATATACGATAATACTGCCTGTTCTAGAAACTTCTAAGACTCTCAACACGTGCTACCAGCGTCAGTTGACGCAACGCTGTCGCAACACACTAGCGAATCTTCTAGAATACTCATCACGTGACCCCCCCACTGTCATAACACTAACTGTGAAAATTATGTACATTACAAAGTTGTATTGAGGAAGAATAAACAAGTTTTATAAACAAAGGACTTGTATCTTGTAAGAATTAACAAGCAAACATACAGAGACGTAACAAATTGGTGTCAGAAGTGGGATAAAAAAAAAATGGAAACGAGAAGCAGCAAATCAAACTACAGCCTAGCAGACTCAATGGCAGCAATACAAGAGCAGCAAAAGAAACAAGAAGAACGAGAAAATGAATGAGAAAAGAAACAAGAAGAAAGATTACAGCAATGGCAGCTCGAACAGCAAAATAAACAAGAGAGATTACAGCAGTTGTTGGAGGAAAAAGAAAAGAAACAAGAAGAATGAGAAAAAAAACAAGAAGAGAGATTACAGCAGTTGTTGGAGGAGAAAGAAAATAAACAAGAAAAGAAATTACAGCAGTTGTTAGAGCAGAAAGAAAATAAACAAGAAGAGAAATTACAGCAGTTGCTAGAGGAGAAAGAAAATAAACAAGAAGAACGAGAAAAGAAACAAGAAGAGAGACTACAGCAGTGGCAACTAGAACAAGAAAGG